ACGTTAAGTTCCCACTCCAGCAGTTAGGATCGATGCCTGTTTGCGGTAGAACGGAAAAGTAACACACTCTTTCTGGAAATGAGTTTGAAACGCAAATCCTAAAGGATAAAAATGTTTGAAGTTTTTTTTTTGAGTTTTAGAGAAGTGAATTAGTTTAATTTGTGATTCACGTTGCACTAAAGACTGTGATATAGGAACGAATGTGTCGCATATCGCCCCCAGACGGGACGTACGCTAAACACTCTAGACAAACGAGAGAAGACCCATCACTCATCATTTCTCATATACTTAAGGCTCGTGGTGCACAATGTTCATCATATTTATTAAGTGTTTTGAAGTTGTTTTGAGATGAGAAGAGGAAAAGACGCACGAAAGGTCTAAGGGAAACTCGGTCCTAACGTTGTCATCCAAAATGGCCCTAAGGTCGGGATGCGAAAGGAAATTCTGCCCTAATGTTAGCATGCAAAAGATGGACCTAAGATTGAGTTTAAAAGGGACTAACCTACTTATTATCATGCATGGATTACACTCATGATGTCTATTGTACTCCAAGCTTAATCAGAAACTAAGTTGGACTAGGAGGCCTTATGGGAGCATGCAAAAATCAAGGCAAAAAGCAAGAAAACAAGGTAAAAACAACATCTACAATAGCGTTTCCTGCAAAAACAACAATAAAATCCAGCAAGGCAGCACAACAACATTTAACAGCTACTAAGTCAACACAAAAAGCAGGTGTAAAAGGCAGGCGGCAAGCAAGAACAACATAAAACAACATGTAAATTCAAAATAAAACAGCTGTAGAAAACAGGACAGCAAGCATGCTTCAACGCAATCAACATGAACAAGCATCAATCATGAACAAGTATCAAGCAAAGATGGACATGCATTAACAATTAAACGCAAGTGTTCAACAAGGTTGCTTCATCAAGAATTCAACAAGAACAACATGCTTTGCACATCAATTAAACAATTCAAACGATCATGCAACAAACGGAATCGGAAGAAAATATGAACATGCATCACAAGTCCAGCAAGATAATCATCAATAGTCATGATACAAACAAGCAAAGCATATGATCATCACATCAAGCAACAACATAAGCATCTCAAGCATTTATCAACGGAAACCAAAAGTCGTGCATCAAAAAATCTCAATCAAACCATCAAACATGATGAAACAGGCTAAGAACAATCCACACAAATGCAACATATCAATCCATGAAGGTTAGAGGTGGAAAGAAATCAAAACATGCTTGAAAACAACCAAAAATCACATTCTGGTCCAGTGTTAATCGATTAACCATTTGCAGTGCAAATGTGGTTAATCGATTAACCATTTGCAGTGCAAATATGGTTAATCGATTAACCACTTGAAAAAGGCTGAAAATACACTGGTTAATCGATTAATCAGTTTTGTACTACCACTGGTTAATTGATTAACACTGCACCAGAAGCAGAAAAATAACAATTTAAAAGCACTTCCAGCAATTAATCAATTATGTAATCATCCAAATGATCATATAATCAATTATGCACAAATATAACACCAAAAGTCAGTGATCAAACATTAATCAAACTTATCCAAGGATTGAGATCACAAATCACATAGATCAAGTCATCAAAATCAATTAACATTAAGGATCTACATTGTGATTATCCAAATAAGCTCAAAACAGAAGTGGATCTAGAATTAACCAATCTTCAAAGTTGAGAATTGTTTTGATAAGTGTTGTTCTACTGAAAATGATAGATCCAAGCTAGAAACCTAAGAAAACTTTAAGATCCAAGAGATTTCTTGCAAGAGAAGTGATGAATGAGAAAAATTAAGCCAAAGTTTATTCAAGAATCACTTAAAAGCTTGCTTCCAAAACCAGATCCAAATCCAAACAAAAATTAAATGATAAATTGAAGTTGATGGAGATGGATGGAGGTTAAGCTCTAGAATTCAAGGATTCCAATGAAGAATCAAAGAAATCAAGTGAAAGAGCTCTAATGGAGTTTTAAGGATATTGGACATTTTCTGAATGGCCATTTCCAGATTGACATGTAATATAGTGATTCTTTTCTGTTATGCATACTGATTTCATCATTATATTTTTAAAGATATTTAATATTGTTAACTAAGACATGTGCATTTGAAATTTATGTCAAACACACAAATGTTATTGGGATTTTACAAGATGTCGTGAAAACTCAAATGGGTGGTGGTGGAAAGGTAAAACATTTACGTAGAACACTTTTTCAGCTGCATTTCGTGCTAAAAGAAAAATTGTGTTACATGTTGCCTCAAGTGGGATTGCAAGTTTGTTGTTACCTGGTGGAAGAACAACTCATTCTAAATTCAAGATTTCAGTCCCTACTTTGTAAACATTCATTTGCAACATTGACAAAAAGGATGAACTTGCTAACCTCTTAAAATTGACTGATCTAATTATTTGGGATAAGGCTCCCATGGCTAAAAAATTATGCTTTAAGGCTCTTGACAAATCTTTGAAGGATATTATGAGTAAAATTTCAAAAGTGTCTGAGAATTTTTTTTGAGGAAAAGTTATTGTTTTTGGTGGTGATTTCAAACAAATTCTTCCAGTTATACCAAGAGGTACAAGATTAGACATTATTCATGCAACCATCAATGCTTTTTATATTTGGAATTATTTCAAGGTTCTCAAACTTACAAAGAACATGCGCTTGCAAAGTGGAACAATGACATCTTCCGCTGATGAGATTCAAAAAATTTCTGAGTGGATATTAAAAATTGGAGATGGGAGAATGTTTGAACCAAATGATGGTTATGTTGAAATTTCCATTCCACAAGAGTTTCTCATTTCTAATTTTTCATAGCCAAATGAGGCTATTGTTGAAAGTACCTATCCTGATCTAATTCATAACTATAATGACTCCAATTACCTTCAAAGTCGTACAATTTTGGCTTTAACTATTGAAGTGGTGGATGATATCAATCAATACATCACAAATCTTATTCCAGGTACTATTCATACTTTCTTAACGTATTTAATTCCATAATGTATGCATTCTTATCGTTGTACTCAAATACATTGTTTTTTGAATTTTTAGGAGACGAAAAAGAATACTTTAGTAGCGATTCTATTGATAGATCAAAAACATCCGACTTCGATGCATTTGAACACTTGATACCTGAATTCTTGAATGCTCTTAAAACATCAGGATTGCCTAATCATTCAATCAAGTTGAAAATTGGGAGCATAATTATGTTGTTGTGCAACTTGGATCAATCTGAAGGATTCTGCAATGGTATCAGACTCACTGTAACGAGGCTTGCTAATCATGCCATTGAAGTTAAGATCATTTCTGAAAAGAATATTGGTAACAACATTTATATTCCAAGAATGTCTTTGTCCCCTTCATAGTCACCATGACCTTTTAAATTGGTTAGAATATAATTTTTAATTATTGTTTCTTTTGCTATGACAATTAACAAATCGCAAGGTCAATCTTTAGACAATGTTGGTTTATACTTACCAAAAGATGTTTTTAGTCATGGTCAATTATACGTGGCACTTTCTAGAGTTAAGACTAAGGAAAGTCTTAAGATTTTGATTCATGACAAAGATAAACAGGATATGCATACACAACCACTAATGTTGTTTTCAAGAAAGTTTTTCACACATTTAATAGGTATTTAAATATAAATTATTTTGTTTTAATATTTGCGCATGATAAATGATATTTATAGTTGTCATCTAATATAATTGTAATTTTTTATAGGTTATTTCATTTTGTACATTATGGAAATTCATGCTACATAATCCTCCAATGACAATAATAAATGTAACTATTGATTTTTTTTTTTGGTGTCTTTCTTTTTTGTCTTAGACAATGTTGCTCAACAATACCATTATATTTTGAGTTTAAGAATCTTTTGTTATTCTATTTATATTTCAATATTCCATATATACAGTTACATTTAGCACTATTTAACTTTTAAAAAAAATCTATATCTACATTCTAATATATCTACATTGAGTTTATATATAGATTGATTTATATTTTGGAACAATATTACACTTATGACAACTTTTAATTTTATAATATAGTGGTTTGACAATTCAAAAATATTTATTATTTTTTAATTAAAATTTTGAGACCACTAAAAAAATGTAATGATAATTGTTTAAATGCATATTAAATCATAACTCAGATATTTCTTTTATTAATATACTAGCGTTTAGACGGGTACACGCGTGCTCGTCTGTCCGTTTTTTTAATGCGCATAAATGAAAATATAAATAATATTTTTTGTTTAAATAAATTTTTAAAAAAATATAATATGTGAAAGTTAGTAATAAAAAGTTATGTGAAAGTTAATAATAACAAATTATTAAATAAATTATATAATAAAATAAGGATAAAAATGGTAGAAAAATAAGACACACAAAAATAAAATATTCTCTTTATATATCTTATAGATATTAATTGAAAGTCTTTTAAAATTATAAAGTTTAATTCACTTTTTTTTTCTCAACAGAAATCAAACAAATAAATAAAAAGAATTTTTAATAATGTTTTGGACATTTAAACTATTCATAAATAAAAAATGCTAACTAGTATGTCAGATACTATTTAAATTTTTTTTAAAAAAATAGATTGAATATGTTTTGAAAGACAAACGTGTGGATCCAATAAAAATATAGTTTTTTAAAAAAAATATATAAGAAAAATAAGTTGTATTCTGTCACATTATAATTTTATTTTTAAAATATTATTATAATTTGACACTTCAATATTACGTAGATTCAATAACTATATAATATTTTTTATTTTATTTGAAAGGTTAGCCTCACCCTTTATAAATAAATGCAACAAAAATGAGAACCACTCTTCCTATAAGGTACCGTCCAATAGAAACACACACTTCCAACCAATTCTAAAAACAGAGTCTTTTTTTTACTTAGATCTAACAAGAACGATAAGGTACCGATCGGACGCAATTACAGATCGCAAAACGACGACGTAGAAGGATGGTGCTCAACAGCGGCGTGGTGATAAGGGTGGCGCACGTGTCAGCTAGGTTGTGTCAATACATATCGTGCAACCCTGAGATTTTGAGGAGCGACGCCGTTTTGGGCCTCATCTTCTGTCTTCCTTTACAGCGTCTCTTCTTCTCGCTTTCGTCTTACCTTGGTTATCGTACACCGCACTCCGATAGAAATTGAAATCGAAATCCAAATCTGTACCCTTACGGTGAATCATATTGTATATATATGTATTATAGTACATGTTAGGTTTTTTACTTTTGTTGTTGTTGTGTTTATGTGCTTCCTATGTTTTTGTTTTTATGTTTATATTTGTCGCTGTTTATGTCTGCAAGGTAATTGGATTTAGTTTGGTACTAGTTTGGAAGCTTAGTTTGATTAATTTCCAACTCCTGTGTTTGAATTTTAGGATGGCCTTGTTCACCTTTATAACAGCTTAAAATTGAGAGACAGAACAAAAATGGATACCTCCAGAAAAGCTCCATATAATTTTTTGTAAAGAGCTCCATATAGGACAATTATCGAACTCTAACTTTAGTCACGTTTTTTGCGTGTGGCTAAACTTCAAATGATCAGACCAATTCTTAAGAATTAGAAGATTAATGGTGGTGTTGTAGTACAGTAGCATGTCTTAAATTCAACTTTTCTTGATAATTTTTTCTCTGTTTCCCAACCATTAGATTTAATGTAGAATGGATGGCTTATTGCTTCGATCTCAAGAAAATTTAAGTTTTTCGTTTTGCAATATGCCCAGGTGCACGCATTATGTATGAGTTGGAACCTCGAGATCCAAAATTTATTTAAGTGTTTTTTCAAATATTTTTTGTGTGACGAATATTTTTTTTAGTAATAAAAAGGCTTAAATTAAAAATTGATTGTAAGTTTATACATTTCTCACAAATTTATTATCTCAATGAATCAGAAGTATGAGTTTTAAAGAGAACAAAATAAATTACAAACTTGTGAATGCGTGGTTGAAATTCACTTATATACTATGGCCTTTCGTCTTTAACATTTGACACATATACTGTTACATAGCCTTTCGTCTTTAACATTCGACATGTATACTGCTTCATGGGCTTTTGATGTGTGTCAAGCTTAAGGTTTCATCTTTCAAGTCACCATGATCTTGAGGGGATGTATTAGAGATCGACTTAGTGAGTTAGTTAGTATGGTAGTTATGGTTGTTACACCTTGTGTGAAGTTAGTTAGTATGTTTAACAACCATGTAAGCTCTGCTATATAAGTGTGTGCATTGGTGTAAGGAGGTTATGATGGTGAATATAATTCTCATACGTGCAAGAATATCTTGAATGGTTAACTCTTCTTCTTCTTCCATTCTTCATTATCTCTATCATGAACATGCATAGTTCACACATGGTATCATATGCCTAAGGGGACTGTTCTATTCTGATGCATTATCATCATTATCATTATTGTCTTCATCTCGACGTTGAGTGCAAGTTGCTTCAAACAAACATCGATTTTCATTTAAGTAGTTGCAAAGCAGCTCAAGCTTCAAAGAAGCGTCCGCAGAGGAAATTAATTCACCTTCGAGAGTACAACCATTGGTTCAAAACTCTCAAATAGTTTTTAGTGTAGTTAGCTTCTCAAGTTTAGCAAACACTTTTGTACCGAAGTTATTGATTAAGTTTCAAGAAACCGATTTCCTTTTATGGAATCAATAAGTCGAGGAGGTGATACTATATCACAAGCTTCATCGAGTGGTGGTTAACCCTAAGGTTCCACCAGTGTTCAAGAATGAACAAGATTGTATCGAAAATATTATATCCGAAAAGTATGAAACTTGGATCATACAAGATCGAACATTGTTTACATGGTTACTCTCTACCATTTATGAGTCAGTTCTTTCAAGAGTTCTTGCATGCAAACATGCTCATGATGTATGGGACAAAGTCTACAAACACTTCAATTCATAAATGAAGGTCATAATGCATCAGTTTTGCTTGGAGTTGAAAACAAGCAAGAAGAGAACCAAATCCATCTCAGAATATATGTTACGTGTTCGTGCCATTGCCGAATCTCTCATGGTAATTAGTGATCTTATATCTGAACATGATCAAGTTGATGTTATAATACATGGTTTCCCAGAGGAGTATAACCATTTCATCATGATGACATATCGTGAAACTAAATCATTGGACATATATAATGTTGAAGCATTACTATATGTACAATAGGCTCAGTTGGATAGGTTCAAACAAGAATTAGCATCAACAAGTGCTACAACTAACATAACTCAAGGAGTCAGTACTAGAAGAGGTGTTAACTCGGGTGGTTCCTACCATCGTGCTCGTGGTCGAGGCAAGCAATTCAGAGGTAGATGTCGTGGGTGTCAAACTCAAGTTTACACACCGAGAAATCGTCCCACATGTAAACTCTGTAACAAATATGGTCACTCAATAATTGAGTGTTGACACAGGTTTGATGAGTATTATGAACTAGTGTCATCCAAGAATCAGTCTCAAGCATAAAAATTGAGCACTATAAATACTACATAGGATGAAGTTAAACCTCAGTATAATTCACCCACTCAAGCCACAACATATATTGCACATCAAGACTAATTGTACATCCACCAAATCTTGATTCACAAGCTTGGTTTGCAGACTCAGGTGTCTCACATCATATCACATTTAATCAAGCTAATATGCATGTTATAAAGTAATATGTAGGTCCTAATAAATTGGTAATAGGAAATGGACATAGTCTAGCTATTAAAACTATTGTTCATTCACAAATGCATTCAAATTTTGTGCCTATTTCTATGCCTAAGTTATCTGATGTGTTACATGTGCCAAATATAACCAAAAATATCATTTATCTGCCCAAGCTTGCTATGGACAATCAAGTTTATTTTGAATTCCATGCTAACAGCTGCTTTATCAAATCACATGCATCTAAACAAGTGTTTATTGAAGAGTTTTTAGATGAAAGTGGACTATATTGCTTTAATGATTTGTTATCGAGCACTTTAAGACATTCCTTAAATCAGTAGCAATCTAGCTTAGGTCCTGAAGTGCACAATATTAAAGTGTCAAAGGCATCTAATAATTCCATCTCTAATTCTCTACTTGCAAATAAAATGTCTATTTGGCATTCTAGGTTAGGCCATGCCAATCCTAGAGTTATACATAAAGTTCTACAGCTGTGTAAAATTTCCTGCAATATATTAATAAAGAGCCACAAACTTTTTTGCAATTCTTGTTGTATTGGTAAAGCTCATAGGTTATATACTCATTTGCCCAATACTAAGTATACCACTTAATTTGAACTTATGCATACTATCCTGTGAGGGGCATCTCTCACACCATCCAACAATGGCTATTCATATTACATTGCATTTGTATATGATTTTTCCATGTACACGTGGATCTATATGCTCAAGAACAAAAGTTATGCATTAACTGCTTTCAAGATGTTTCAAAATTATGTCATAACACAACGCATCACAACAAAATACAACACCAAAACCAAAGCAATTCAATATGATTATGGTGGTGAATTCAGACCTTTCACCAAGTTGCTTAATGACCAAGGCATCATACATAGACTGACATTTCCTCACACATCTCATCAAAATGGAAGTGTAGAAAGAAGGCATATACAAATTGTGTAAATGAGACCCATTCTTCTTGCACACTCCTCAATGCCTATTAATTTTTGGGATCATAACTTCACTATTGAAGTGATTTTGATAAGCAGTCTTCCAACAAGTGCATTATCAAACTTTGACCCACCATACATGGATATGCATAATAAGCAACCTGACTACACCATACTCAAGGTGTTTGGTAGCTCATTTTTCCTCATGTCATGCCTTACAACAAAAAACAAGTTGGAATTCAGAAGCCTTAAATGCACATATCTAGGTGTGTCACCAACTCACAAGGGACACAAATGCCTAAGTCCTGAAGATGAAATTTACATATCTAAAGATGCGATTTTCAATAAACTGAGTTTCTTGGGGAAATCACAAACTCGAAGGAAGAGTGTCCTCAATCTAAGGATAACTCGACTTTGATGCTACCTAACACACAACCCACCTAAGTTACTAGGTTGGTATCATCAAGTTCTATCGATAAGCTATCTAACTCCGTAAAGCGTCATGTGTCAACTGATGTATCCCAAAATGTCCATAGTTTAATGTCACATGTTAATTAGTTTCCACACGCACATACATCACTTGATGAACACATACGTGAGTCTGACTTTATCCCAGAAACACTATAAATAAATTGTACCACGCTTGGTTTTCCTAGAGTGTCAACCTCTCGGTTAACTTCTTCTGAATCTGTGGATAACTTGATACCTAAGGTACCTCGGGTTATAAAGTCATCTTCACAGTTTGTTTTAAATATAGTTGGTTCTTCTGAGTCTCTCTCACCCTCATTTCAAACTCAACAAGTTCTAACACATCTGAATGTCAACAACCACCCCATGCTCACAAGAGCAAAGGCAGGCAAGTGAAAACCTAAAGTTTTTTTGGTAAACATTGAGCCCACTTCTGTCAAAAAAACTATCACATAGCCTGAATGGTTCAGTCCTGTGAAAGTTGAATATGAATCCCTAATGAAGAATGATACCTGGGTTTTTACAACTCTACTTGCTCACAGAAAACCTATTGGATGCAAATGAGTATTTAAAGCTAAAGAAAACTCATATGGCACAATAAATATGTACGAATCAAGACTTGTAGCTAAAGGGTTCCATCAACAACATGAATTTGATTTCAATGAGACATTTAATCCTGTTGTTAAACCAACAACCATAAGAATCATATTGACCTTAGCCATCAAACACAAGTGGGAAATTCGATAAATTGATGCCAACAACGCTTTATTAAATGGAGAATTATAAGAAGGGGTCTATATGGAGCAACCTCTAGGATTCATTTCCTCTGATTCCACTCTGGCTTGCAAACGGAAGAAAGCTTTATATGGCTCGAAACAAGCTCTTCGTGCCTGGTATGAGAAATTCCATTAGGCTCTAATTCAATTTGGTTTTGTTTCAAGCAAATGTGGCCATTCATATTTTATCTACTGTTAGATGCCCAATTTTGCTTATTTGAGCTATCAAATGTGGGCATCTTTCACTCTGTTTTGTCAAGAAAGTATTCAAAATAACTCTCACTTTGGTTGGTTTGCAACTTTGTGTTAAAGTATCTTGGTGCCTTTAATTTTTGTGTTATTGTGCAGGAATTAGGCATGAAAGAGTGGAAATTCAGACACATGAATGATGGCAAAGAGACCAAGACAGCAAGCAAACAACAGCAAGTTCGCTAGGCGAACTTGCCAGCGAAGCTCCCTCCAAAACTTCACAAAGTTCGCTAGGTGAACTATGTAGTGAAGGCCAGGAACTTAAAACAACAAGGAAAGGGCCATAAACTCGCTAGGCGAAGGAGGAAGCGAAGCACTCGCTAGGCGAAGAGATAGCGAGTAGCCAGCGAACACTCCCGGACTTAAAACAACAAGGAAAGGGCCACAAATTCGCTAGGGGAAGCTCACAGCGAAGGCTTCGCTAGGCGAAGGATTACTCGCCTCGCGAACTTTTAGAAACTTGTCTGAGGAGAGTTCACAAGACACAGGCACTTCAGGTGGCATTTTTGAGGTTCGCCTAGCGAACAAGACAGCTCAGCTGACCTTTCTATAAGTAGCATGAGCTACTTTTTGTAAAAATATCTATTTTTTGTATTTGCATTGGAGAGGATTTTTATGACCTAGAAACTCATTCCTTCATTTCTCATAATCTCTTAGCAATATTTCACCAAAAGAAGGTGGATTCTCATCCATTCTCGATTATTCGACTTGGATGTTGATCAACCTTCTTCCGAAACTTGTTGCTCAAGCTATCATGGAAATGAGTGGCTAAATCCCTCTCTCGTTAAGGTTAGGAGTAGTTAGTTCAGATTTTATGTATTCTTCTTAATCTCTTGTATGTGAACAATGTTATGATCAATGTAGATGAAGTTATTTGCTACTATTTGTACATTTGTGGTTTGAATTGCTTTAGACATGGACTTTCCAAGTCTTGACCTAACTTCTTCATCTATCAACTATACAAATGCTAGACATAGATTTGAAAGTTGATATTCGTGTTGTATCGATCTTAATGATTGTTGTTTCGATTGTTATTTAGAGAGATCATTTAACGGTCGAAACAATAACATTCACGAAATCGCTTTAGAGATGAACGTTTTTGCGAGGATACGCGGTTATGTTGGTTAGAACTTCGTTCACATATTTGATTGGTTGGATACGTTTAGGACGGACTAGCGAACCCTAATCTTGACATGCTTTTATCAAACTTAGACCGACTTTTATTCCGTTTTATTTCTTGCAAACTTTTGTTACGAAATTGAAACCATTCTAACCCCCCCCCCCCCCCCCCCTTTCTTAAGTCATTAAACCGTTGAACGACAAGCATCTATATTCTCTTAAATCCCCGTGGATACGATAAAACACTACCACAAAATACTTTCTAACATCTACAACCACAACAATATCACTCTCTATGATCTAGTTTATATTGATGACATTTTAATCATTAGTTCATCAACTACACTAGTGCATAGCCTGATTGATCAACTTCATGATAAGTTTGCCCTCAAGAAACATGGTGTGCCACAACATTTCTTAGGGATTGAAATGCATTATTAGGGAAGTGGCTCCATGGCTATGACTCAAACAAAGTATGTCAAATATTTGTTGGCCAAAACCCACATGATAGAGGCAAAAAGAGTCAACGCACCCATGCTCACCTCATGCAAACTCATCAAACATGGTGATGATAAGTTATCAAATTCATTCCTATACAGATCCACAATAGGATCTCTTCAATATGTCACTTTGACACGTCCAGATATAGCCTTTTCGTGTTAATAAAGCAGATCAATACATGGCAAATCTGCTTGATTCCCATTTGAGTGTAGTAAAATGCATGTTGCATTACTGAAATGGTAAGATAACTCGTGGTTTGGTCTTGGCACCTGCAAATCCTCAACAACAAATGTCTTTGCGTGCTTACAGTGACTCGGATTGGTCCAGAGACTCAAATGATAGGCGCTCAACTTCTAGTTCGTGTGTGTATCTTGGACCAAACCTTGTTGTATGGAGTTTGAAGAAGCAGTCATTAGTCGCTCGTTCCAACACTGAGGCAGAGTATAGAGCTCTTGCCCGCACCACATATAAACATCTATGGATAAAATCCATACTCAATGAACTCATCATCAGTTACTTTCCTCCCACACTACTCTGCGACAACCTAAGTGCAATAATGCTTTCTCACAGTCCTATGCTTCATGCACACACTAAACATGTTCAATTAGACATACATTTCGCAAGGGAGAAAGTTGTAGCTCAAAATCTATGTATTCAACATGTACCAACTCAAGTTCAAATTGTTGATTTTTTCACCAAACCTCTACCAACTAATCTCTTCACTTTGTTTCGTGACAAACTCAATGTTTTATCTTTCAAGCCACCATGATTTTGATGGGGTGTATTAGAGATATACTTAGTGAGTTAATTAGTATGGTAGTTATGGTTGTTGCACTTTGTGTAAAGTTAGTTAATATGTTTAACAACCATGTAAGATCTCCTGGTGTATGCATTGGTATAAGGAGATTATATGAATATATTTCTCATACATATAAAAATATATTGCTAGGTTAACTTTTCTCTCGAACTCTTCTTCTTCCTTTCTTCATTCTCTCTATCATAAACATCATAGTTGACATTGTCTTTTAACTTTTTATCTTATAAATTTTTTACAGAAAAAAAGTATGTGAAAATAGGAATAAAAAGTGGATTTTTACAAAGAGTTTTAAATTAATTAAATTGATTTGATATTTTTTAATGTTTGAATCAAAATCAAACAAATTTAATTTCCTTTTAGTTTAAGTATTAATTTTTATGTAATTCAAAATTGATGTATTAAAACTGAATCAAAGTATTATATAATTTTAATGAAAGTTATTATTTTTATTTCACATTATATTAGTAATATTATTTTAAAATATCAAACTGATTTAACCAAATTAACCAATTTGTTTATCATCAATCCAGTTTAATTTAGATTTGGTAAAAAATATATTATAAAGTTTAAAAAAGTTCATTTCAATCTGTTCACATTTTTTCTTTTAAAATTGAATGAAAATGATCATATATTTTAGACTAAAAGAAAAATGTACAAAATCAACAATAAACAAAAAGTTCATGATGGATAAAACAAAATAAAAAATTATTTTATATATAAAAAAAACAAAAAAAAACAAATAAGATCAGAGGAAAGAGAAAATTCGGTGCAGTTGCTGAAGTGTTCCGCAAGATGAAGACTATGGTGACGCCATTGACAAGAGTCTCCACATTTTTTCGCCCAAATTCCCATAATGCCCTTCCCTTCTCCCCCAAACCACGCAACCTTTCCTTACCAAACTTCTTCACCTTCACCTCTCCCTCTCTTTCAATGGCCGCTTCTTCTCAATCCACTGCTCCGGTACCTCTATTTCTCTCCTATTTTCTTCTTCCCAATTGATTAATAATTAGTTTAATCGCTTCAAAATTCGAAATTTCCACAAAATTACTTCAATTTATTTATTTATTTTGTGTTTTCATTTCCTTAATAAATGTGATTTCTCGTTTATGAATCAGGTTGCGTCCTCTGGTGATGTTAACGTAGAAAAAGATGACATCTTTCAATTAATTCTAGCTCATCAGGTATTTTTTAGCCTTTTTTTTTTTAAATTTCTCTGGAAGCACTTATAAAAAAAAAAGCACTTATCTAGAAGCACTTCTGGTATCTGCTTAATCGGTTAAATAGTCCATCAATTTCGTAGAAGCTCTATTATTTGACGTTTCCATTAGCTTCTGTCTATTTGGAAGCTGTCTCATTTAACATCTATGAGTTTATAAAAATATTACTGTAATAAGTGAAGAATTATATAGTTATTTTAGCTGTGAAACTATAATAAACCAGAAGCTAAAATTCTTTGCTGGTAATTTGAGTCTGTGTGTGAGTCTTTTGAGGAAGATTGATATTAAGTGCTACTGTGTTAGGAAAAAGCCGCGAGACTTCCTCCACTTGAAGAAATTCGAACTGTCCTTGATCGTAGTGTACGTGGGACGCTCTCAACCTTTTCAAAGGTTTCTGTTCTATCCTTACACTGACTTGTATAACTGATTGTTTTTACTTTTTCTACCCATCTCAGTGTGAATTTGTAACAGTTTTTGTTGAGTGCAATTTATAAGCTGCGGTCGTGTTTTTGTTTGCTTACTTAGACTGTTATGGCAACATAGGGCTATTAGCTTTCATGGTCTGGTATAGCACTTTTGCTAGGCGAAAAGAAAGATGTGAATTTTCTTGTTTCGAAATTTAGTTGTGGACTTATGTTCTTGCCCCAATATTCAAGCTCTCGTGGTACTGCAAATCAGAAGAAATTGCAATGCAAGCACCCTTCCTTCCGAGCAACAACTGCAAACTAATTAATGAAAAATGATAATAGTGAACTCCATGCTTGGCTGAGCCATGAAATTGAAATCTTCTATGGCTGTCTTTATGATTGTATCATTGGCATAATATTTTGAATAATTATTTATTGGCAGATAGTAAATTACCTTCTTCTCGTTTGATCTTTTGTTTTTTGACATGCAGAAGTATGATGGTTATCCATCAGGGTCTATGGTTGACTTTGCATGTGATGCAAATGGATGTCTTATATTAGCAGTGAGCGACTTGGCTGTTCATTCAAAGGTTTTTTCGTTTTTTTATTTTCTTTTTCTTCCACCAAAATTTATTGTTAGAAAACGATAAATATAAGCAATTCTAAAATTGGATTTTACTTCATGAGAAATAGAATTTGACGTCGAATTTGTGAACTATTTATAAATGGCTGTCCAGCACACTATCGAAGTTGGCTTGTCAGATGCCACAAATTCAATTTCAAATCCTGATTATGTCTTCAACCCGCACACGTCCATCTTAAAAATTATCATTCATGAGAATACCTTTTGCGCCACAAACCATTTAAAAGATTGCTTCCATTTGCTAAAAAGGTATAGTTTCCTATATTATACAGGACTTAGCTGCTAATCCTAAATGTTCAGTGCTTGTGGCTAGAGATCCTGAAGATAGGACTGATTTGGTGATCACTTTCCATGGCGACGCTATCTTTGTAAGTTTCAATCTTCTGTTATTTCCCAGTAGTTATATATTATTTCTTTTTGTCTTCATTTCCTTTTACTATACAACGGGAAAGAAGTTTAAATGTAATCCTGAATTTTTACTCAGGTACCTGAAAAGGATAATAAGGCGATACGAGCTGCATATTTGGCAAGACATCCCAACGCATTTTGGGTAACTTTGTTCATCATTCTTCCTTGTAATTTATTTATTTTCCTTCTGCATGTCCTCGTCCAAAAATTAACACCTATAGATAAACTACTGATATTGAAGGTTGACTTTGGAGACTTCCGATTTGTACGCATTGAGCCAAAAGTTGTACGATTCGTGTCAGGTGTTGCTACAGCTTTGTTAGGATCAGGAGGTTTGTTAACCTTGCTACTCTTGCTGGTTTATTTTGCTGTTAATGCTGTGATATGTTTGAAGAGGAAGGGAAAGGACAGTTAAATGGATTGAAGAACTATTTATTATAGTGAATGCCTTGAAGTTAAGGGTTTGTTTTAAAGGAATTTTTTTTTCCAAAGAAAATATTTTTGATTGGTGCATATAAAAAATATCTTCTTATCGCAGTTGGTAGCTTCAGGAATGAGCAAGTATCTTCTCTGCACCATAAGTGAATTTCATGTGTATTATCTATTAAAAACAATTTTGTTACGCTTATTTTTAACTTTGACATCAGAGTTTAGTGGAGATGAGTTCAAATCTGCAAAAGTTGATCCCATATCTCAGTTTTCCAAGCCAGTAGCGGTAGTGATCTCTAACTGTTCATCATATATTACATGTCTTCAATGTACTTCTTAAATCACCATTTTATCGCTTTTAATGTGATATTGTTATTTGACAGTCGCATATGAACAAAGATCATGGTGAAGATACTAAAATGATTGTGCAGCACTGGACCTCAGTTCCGGTATTTCATCTTTCCCATTGTACAGTAAACAGTATCAATAAGAAAGAAGATTTTTTATTAATATCATGGAGATTTTCTGTCAAGCTTGCATGCAATATTACATAATTGTGTATGAGTGAGCATAAGAAAATCTATATGGATGACTTTCTGATTATCATGTATGTTACATTTACATCGCTGTTTTCTTTATGGTATATAAATGCGAGAGAACTATTGTATATAAAAAAATGTTATCGGGAGCTATGATCTTGAAAAGGAAATTAAAATAGCTTGTTCTTGAAACAATGATAGTACCAAATACTAATACTCTGCTGGGCAAAGGGCTGATGATGTTTGGGTTCAATGTTGACTGAATTGATCATCTGCAGGTGGACTTTGCGGACATACTAGATTTGGATCGTCTAGGTTTCAATGTTAAGGTATTGATTCTGTTATTTTAAGTCATTTAGTTTATTTCTCTTTCTCATGCATTCTCTTTTGAACTTGTACCTTCACTTAAATAATAATAATTTTTTGTAGGCTGGTTACGAGGGAGATACTTTCAAGCTCCGGGTACCTTTTCCTCGACCTGCAGAAGATAGAAAGTAAGACATCATATTTGACATAAACTCCCATCTCTTGGAGAAAGTAACACATCTGAATTAATTAGATAAAATTTGGTGCTGTTAGTATCAGATTTCAATTTCCTGTTATAACCCGACTTTCTGCAGATAGTAACTGTTGACCATGCTTTTATTTTAGGGATGTGAAGACTCTCATTGTTGAGATGCTCCAAGCGGCTAAGCCTCAAGTTTGATTGATTACTCCACAGAACAAAGATGGAGAGGTACTCATCAGAAACTCATCAAGTACTTGAATTCTGCAGGTTCCTACCAGTAGTCACCCTTCTGCTGGGGGGAACAAATTGTGTGCTTTGAGAAGTAGACAAGTAAATATAGTTATACTTTCAATATCCACACTACGACAACTCGAATCATTTACTTTGTATAATTTCACTTATTGGAGATTTTTTGTGGGGAAACACTCACAAAATGCTGACATAAAATGGTGTAAATTAATTGTTTCTCATAGACACTTATCTATGTATAGAATTTTGTATGGTTAAAGTTATGAGTTGAATTACTATGTATTGAAAAAGCTTCCGAATTTGATTACTGCGCGTGATGAAGGATGATTGCGTTGAAAATTATGTCATTTTTGTACGGCACGTTTTCAAAAAGCTACCAAATTGGAAATGGCACCTTCAATGTGGAAACACACGTTTATATTGGTGTCAACAAATCTTTTATTATTATGATGATCAGTGATTAGTTCAACTATTACATACCCACCACCACCGGAATTTTTTTTTTTCGTATTTAGTAGTATAAAGTGATAACTATATAATTTGTCCATTTCTCAATCAACCCAATAACTTGAATGTTTGATCTCTTGTCCCATTGTGTATGAAAACAAAAGCCAACCAAAACCAAAAAAAGAAAATATTGGCTGTCCTTATGTTCAATTTCTGGTTCTGGTGAAGCCTCGAATACTTTATTTGGATGATTCAACAAATCACAACCGTCTGTTTCTTATTCAAATCCTAATACTCAAAAATACTAGTACAAATGTGAACCAAAAAGAGTTTTAATTAAGTCATCTTTCACATGTTTACAACTACCTTTACTGAAAGACTATTGCAGACATAGTGCATGCAAGCTGCAGCATCATGTTTTTGATGATACATTGAAAGTGTAAATCCAACATTTATTTACAATCATGTATAATAAAATAATAATAAATGTAAAATCAGAAGAAAAAAATCTTGACTATCTAAAAGCAAAAGTAAGCTATTTTGTCAAATTTTGAACCTTACAATAAATATAGCAAAATTGGTAGTAGAAAGATTTCATGTATAAATATAGTCTAAGTTCAGCCATTTCTGTTTTATCAAGATCAATTTAACACTATTGTTATTTATAGAGATAGATAGACACAAGAAAATCATTGAGATTCCAAGTACAAAACGATCCATGCTTTATTTGGCCTCATGTTATCTTAGCAGAAATTATGGATATTTGCCTGCTTGAGGCTTACAATAATCTTGTATATATTTTTCCTTTCCTTATTGGATTTTCATATCCTATCTCTTTAATACTCTTCTGACAGTCAAAAACCATATGATTCATTACATCCAAAGGTACATTTCAGTTCAATGTCGGCAAAAATTGCAAAGGTGGGTCATAGCATATTCATACACACTTTCATTTAGGTCTCTCTTCTTAATACTATAGAAAAAGAAAAATTGATGAAGAGGGTAGGGTTGCTGAAATCTGAAGGTAAGTTGATTATTAATGACTTGTACACGCTAGAGAGAAACAAAACAAAACAAAATGGAATAGTATCTTTACTCATCAACTCAATCATCATCATTAAGAAAAGATCACAGAAGAAGAAGGAAAAGTGAGAAAATAATTTTCTTCATTGATTGAAATGGATCAGAACAGATCAGATCTTACTTGTTTACAAAAAAAAACACTGTGAGAAAGCAAATTTAAAAAAACTTGAATCATCATCATCATCAACTCAAAATATCATCATCTTCTTCCATCTTCCAAAATATTTTAGGTTGTGTGTTGTTATAGATCCATCTCCTTTGCATCATTCGGAATCACTTTCCACACTTCCCATAGCCTTCAATCCTCTTGGCCTCTACATCCAAAACCGAAAAAATCAAATTTAAAAAAAAGTGCTTAAAACATTAAAAGGCTTAAACTTTGAAACACAACACCAACAATCACTTACCTTCTTGTTACTTTTCTTCTCTCTAACTTCATATCTTTCTTGACACATATCAGTCAACCATGCTCCAGGGCTCACCAACTGTAAACAAAGATTAGGTACTGATAATTAACAAGATCCAACCCTAAAAAACATCGTAGTAACCACCATTTAACGAAAATGAAACTTACCAATAAGCTTCTTTGGATGATTTTGGCTCTCTTTTTGGGTCTCTGAGGAAGCTTACAACCTTTCATAGCAAGAAAATCTTCTTCTTTCTCTTTGCTAGACAGAGCGATGTAAAGCTTAGGCCAAACAAGAGCTCTCTCTTCACCGTTGTTAACATCGCCGGTAACTTTACCGTTTTCCTCCGCCGAACCCCTCGTCGTGTAGTACCGATCTTCCTTCTCCGGCGATGCCGATTTCCGACTATCTCCGGCCGAAGGTCGTAGAGCCGCCGAGTCGGAATTCCTAAACACCAATTTTTCCATCAAAATTACAAAAAAAAAATCAAAATTTAAGAATAAAACCTAGAAACCACAGATCCATTCCCTTGTAGAGAAAAAACGTTTACCGCTTCTGGGTATGCAAAAATTTTGAATTATGACATCATTAAAACACCAAAAATCACTTTTTTTTTCTTCTTCTGAAAAATGGAAACTGAAAAAAAAAAGTTTTTTTCCCTTCTCTTTCAAGCTTATCTTCCGCAGAGAAAACTTCCCATTAACTAAACCAATTGGAAACTCCACCATTACGTTACTTCCACAAAAAACACTAATTTTTATCTTTTACTAAAAATCAAAGGAATGGGAAAGGGAAAGTTTCTCTTTTTCAGCAACCAACGAGAAGGAAGAAGAAAAAGAGGAATCTGATAAGATCCGTATGTTGTTGTTTATGTGAACATGAACAACCTTGTGAGACGGTTCGGTTGTTGATGATGAATATGTGAAGTTTCTTTCTCAGAAAGAGAAACACCGGAACGATTATTATCCGCTCCGGAATTGAGTTTCCTTCTGACACCACCGTTGAGCCTAGTTGAAATCCGAGGATCTTTCACCCGCACGCATCTCAGACGCTTTCTGCTTCCCCACTGCAAGAAGAACTCTGGCTCTGTTGCCTTACACGCTCTCTGGTTCCTCTCTTCTGTCTCCATTCCTGCAACAGCAACAAAACAGCACAAAAATCGAATTTCAGTTCATCCACATGAATGAGATTCGGATAAGATTGAAGAAAATTTGAAAACATAGCGTAGAACGATGAGATACCAAAGTCTTAAAGGGTTGCTTCCAAGTTTGAGATCTATGCCTCAAGAGAAAGACAATCCTTTGCAGAAACTTATCTGCAAAACAAAACCATAAAAAGGGTCAGAACAAGAAGAAGATGAAAAAGATGAAGAAGATGAAGAAGAACAGAAAGTCTTACAATGAAACAAATTTGGATTTAGAGGAGAAAGTTATGTATGCGTTCAAAGACAGATCTTCTTTGTTGTTGATAGATTTGCAAACTTTGTTCTGAAAATGTTTGTGTTGATTTGCAAACTTTGTTCTATGTACTTTGAAGGAGTTATCTCTCAGAAAAAACTGAGACAGAGTTTGAGGTTATTCCTCTCTTCTATGTTGTGTATTTTCTCTTGTCTAACTCTTTTCTTATGTTTGTTGTGTATTTATCCTTCTTGTGAAATGATGAGAAAACTAGAGAGAATCAGAGCCGTTGGATTTTCAAGAGGAGTTAGGTGATTGATCAGAGTTTTTGGTTTGGAGGGTCCTGTGTTCTTATTTACTTTTTCACCCTTTTCCAAATAATTGACAAAAAGAAAATAAAAGGAAAAACAAACAGTTCTTATCACTTTTTTCGGGCTTAACTGCTACACAGTATTGGGCTTGGGCTTACTGTTGGGCCTTTACTTGTTTTAAGGCCCAAGTTCTGAGGCCAAGTTTTGTAGGGAAGATTTAACCTAACTCCCCTATTTAGACCCAACACCTCTTTAAAGTGTATGAGAAAATATTGATCCTGCAAAATTATTTTCAAAAATTTCAAAATTCACATTGTTGGGTGAGAAATTTGAAATTTTGTGGGGTGATATCGAAAATTTCGAGCAAGATATCTGAAATTTAAAAAACAGTGAGTTTTTCATCGAAAATTTCAAATTTTCTGTTTACATTCTAATGTGTATCAGAAATTTCAAAATTTTTGGTATTTACATTAAAAATATGTATCGAAAACTTCAAAATTTATGGCATTTACATTGAAATATGTACCAGAAGTTTCAAAGTTTCTAGTGTTGGTATATCGAAAATTTCAAAATTTTCGGTACAAATCTCATTCTTTATACTGGAAATTTCTGGTACTTATAAAAACCTGGCTTTGCACTAGAAATTATGAAATTTCTGATATATGCAATGGTTTTGGTATCGAAGCCCCTGTACAGGGAGCTCCAACGTGTTCCCTCATCCCTTGACCATTAGATCTCCTCTGACTTGATCCAACGCCTCAGAGTTTCTTAGATCTTACATAGATATTGTCCTTTGGTTAGATCTAATGGCCACACGCCCTCTCTACCTTTGACTTGGTTTTTTCTTTGTTATTTTTGTTTGGGCCTAGAGTCTCATTTTGAGACTCATACCACTATGATTACTCCTCACACCATCTAGGTGTAAGGGAAAATGAGTTGGGCCTCGCCTCAGACCCAGGCGCCCAATATGGGCGCCACCCCCCTGATTTTAACTTTGCACCCCTCCTTTGTGTTTTTTTATCTTATTTTTTCTTGGGCCTTCAGCCCTTTAGTTCTTATTATTTACACCGCACCATAGGAATGTTTGCACCCCTTCTTATTTTTTTTTATTGTTTTAATTATTTGAATTTTATTAATTATTTTAGTTTAATTAATAATTGTTAATTCTAAAACATAAAAAAAAAGCAAAAAAACTCAGCATTTTTTGAAAAAATCAAACACTTGATCAACATCAAGTTAATTTTCAAAATCACTTCACCATTAATCCATTTCATAATCAAACCATTTTCAACTAAGAAACCAAAACACTTGATCAACATCAAGTCCTTTTTTCCAAACTTAAACAAAATGTGATTCAAACACTTGATCAACATCAAGTTCTTTTCTGCTTGATCAAAAAGCGTTTCAAAATGTTTTTCACAATAAAACCGGACTGTCGTACCTTGAAAAATACGACCCTCGCGATGGACACGGAAAAAACGTTGGAACAGAGTCGCCATCAAACTTCAGTCATTCCAAGGAAGAAATAGGAAAATATCACTAAAACCTTTGAGAGATAAGAAAATGGTCATCACAACCAAGTTCTATGTTTGGGAGTCAATTACGCAAGAGGGAAGCTATTAGCACCCTTTACTTCTGTTGTACTCAACGGGAACCTCTTGATTCGATTCGTGAGACGAGTTAGCTATATTTATTTGTTATCTTCTAAGGGAAAAGTTAAGGTAAAAGGATTTGTTTTCTAAGGGGGAAAATGAGTGGTTTTTTATTAGGGTGCTCGCCAAGGATTGAGGCCCTTGTGCCTATGTATTCCCTCGTGCAATGGAAAAGTTAGAGTGTCGTAATTCGTGGACTACGGGAAAATGTTTGAAGTAAAAAAGACAAAAAGGTAACTCGCTTGGATCTTGAAATCCTATGCCTACGTACCCTCATAGTGCAATGAGGAAGTCAGAGTAATCGTAGTTCGGAAAACTACGGTTGGTTGGTTTGTGTTTTTTAGCGAACGAGTGATTAGGTCGCATTCTAACTGCTAAAGATTGGCTTGTCTGCTTGCTAGTGGAGGCTGAAACACTAGTTTATATGCATGGAAGAAGGGACTAAACAATATTCTTTGAGAAAGGTTGTTTGAGTTGTGGATCACACAGGGGCAAGGAATTAGTGTTCTAGGACGTTTCGATCGCACGGGGGCGAGGAAAGAGAGTTTGATTTGTTGGATGTTTTGTTAGAGGTGACGATTACTTGAAGCTTAAGAAAGACTCATCGGGCCCAAATAATCGAGAGAGTGAATCGAAGATCCGACTCTCTCTCTTTTTCACCCTTAATTATGAAAGATTTTTTATATGGTTAGAGTAAGTTAAGGATGAAGATTACTCGAAGCTTAAGAAAGGCTCACCGGGCCCAAGTAATCGGGAGAATGAGTCAAAGGCTTGACTCTCTCTCTTTTTCATCTAAGTATTGAGAAAATAGGTTTGATTTTGTTTATTGTAAAATAGTTTGATGTAGAATTGGGTTATGAATCTTTTTAAAGAAGACAATTGTTCGAACTTAAGAAAGACTCCTCGGGTCCAAACAATTAAGGAGAGGAATCAAAGACTCCATTCCAACTCCCTTTTCATCTTTATTGAAATTGGGCTTAAGTATAGTTAGGTGTATTGATTTGGTTTTAAGAAATACTCGATGTGAGTCAAGGTTTGAATTTACGTATGAAATAGTTAAAGGTTTGAACTAATAGAAAGGAGGTCCTAGTGGTATAAGGTAAGGTCGACGGCGAGGCATAAGCGCTCGACTTACAAAAGGTAATGGGATGTGGTATGGTTCAAGAGCTTTAAGGTTTCAGAATTGAATCAAGATACAAAACAAGATACAAATGAACAAGTAATTGAATTGAGTTTTGATCGTGTGCACTAGTAAAGTGGGATAGTCTTCTAAACGACCAACTAAAAGTAATTGATCGAATATGTCTGACTGTAAGAAAGCCTAAGAGTAAGCTTTAAATGTTGTGTATTGTGACCAAAAAGTTGATGGCAATTCTTTGAAAGCAATCAACTTACGAGGGTGAAAAAATGGATCGAAGTTGGATCGAGAGTAGGTCTAAAACTGGTTTAGTTTATGCTTGTCCCTAGGGGTGCTCCTAGTAAACAAACCACAATCAAAAAGTGAGTAAAACGTGTAGATCGGAACGAGAGCGGGGTACATGTAAGTTACACGGGATTGCGAGAAATAAATGGGGTCATTCTCAGATAGCCTAAGAGGAAGTCATGTGTGTGCGAGGTATCCTAAACTATGGCACAAACAAGAGTCAGACAAAATCTCCTTTGTTAGGGTTTCTGTACAAGGTCCATACTCCATTTCTTGAGAACAGTAACCAACAGTCCACCAATTTAGTCTTTTAGGGTTTCAATATCTTTAGTATGTTTTCAAATAATGTGAGCAAGGTATAAAAAAATATGAACAAGATGAATATGATATGAACAAATAAATAATATGACAAGATATATTAACAAAAAAGTAAATCAAGAGTGTATTGACAGAAATTAACGTGAATGGTTAGTGATTAATCGTTAATTGTTATTGTATTGAATGAATTAGGTCGACTATAGCGCTAAACCATAATAACACGATCTATGACGAAGATCATGTTATAGGAGGTCGCGTAATAAACCATATTTATGCAAAAACACAATGAAGAAATGATATGTAGAGCATTCTCAAAGAAATCGTGCCACACAAAAAGAAAAAGAGGTTGGTCTTGTCTTAATCATAAACATTCGTCGATTATTCGAAGGTAACCTATCACGATCCCAAAGTATAGAAAATGATCTCGATGATCATTCACTACAGATTTGAAATAATAAAGGTTAACAACTTCAACAATCAACATTCGCAATATTAAAGACTTTCATCAACTAAAAAAAAGAAAATCGAACTAAAGTCGAAAAATGAAAATCAAGATAGAAATGAAAAGAGAAATCGAAATAAAAATAAATATAGAAGAAAAATATCAAGAAATAAATCTAAACAAATTGATAACCACAATATAATTAAAAATGAAAAAACAAAATAATATTTAACAAAATATCTAATAAAGTATTTAACAAAATCATTAACAAAAATAATACTAATAATTAACAAACAATTTCAACAAGCAAATAACAAGGTTATCAACAAAATTATTAACAAAGTGTTAAATCAAAATTATCAACAAACTTAAAATTAACTCAAAATTTAAATAAACAAAAATAAAAACTTGGGGTGTGTAAACCAAAGGAAATGTGTGACTGTGGAGTATTTAAATGGGATTCAAAGCCTAACACCATGAAAATATAATTTCAAAAGAAAAAGAAAACAAGAATGGTGCGCTTAAAAACTGGGGGTGTGGTATGAGAAATTAAAACGGGTCAAACAGCTCATATGCACAAAAATAT